CGCCGCGTCACCACGGTCGACCGCGTAGAAGCAGAAACCTTTTTTTTAGGTTTCTGTTTTAAAGGAGTTTGATTTAAAAAAATTTGTGTGTGGCGTTTATAAATACAATCAAACTTATATACATGATTTATCATATCTAGAAACATGCGAGAAACAGTCTAATCACTATAAACAAAGAGAAACATGTTTAAACATACATATTCATGTCGAAACCTTCGAAAGTAATTATTTTTCTTTTAAAACTCTTGTTCTAATAAAATTTCAGATCTAGATCTATACTAAGAAATTCGTGGGTGATCTTTATTAACTGAAAACTCATCCATTTTGCAATATACAATATAAAGATCTATTTTTATACATAAACTAGCATGTTAGGCTGACAAAACTCATAAAAACATTATTAAAAACATTTAAATACATAGGTGCAGGATTGGGTGAGATAATACTCGCCTGAGGGGTGATGAACAACTCTAAACAACGCTGTAACAAGTCCTCCTCCGCTGCAAACCGCCGGATCCGCTCAAACTCCCCAAAATCCGTCGAAAACGCCGAGGAGAGGGGGTTAGGGTTTGCAAGAGGGGGAGGAGGAGGCTACTAGGGTTTGGATAGATGAAGAAGAGGGTCTCTCGGATATTATATATATATGAACCCAAAAACCCGACCCAAAACCAATACAACTCGAACTGAGAAAAACTGTCTGGCCGATACGCGGTCGACCGTCACGGTTGACCGGACAAGAAAAATCTTGTTTGTGTGCTTGCCTTACACTTGTTCTCTCTCACATAAATAAACTTGTTTGATCCCCAAACATTTGCTATCACATTCATCTATGATATAAGCATATATTTCAAAATAAAAACCCATTCATTGTATTTTACGGGGTTTTACACTCTTCTCCCCTTAAAAGAATTTCGTCCTTGAAATTCTAAAATCATATCTTAAAAATTAATAATATGAGAAAAGCATGGCGGGAGTAATTAAATTCCCACCTACACATCTTATAGCATTAATTTTCAGATATGAACATAGTAATATCTAAAGTTAACAACCTAGAATGCAAATATTCACATCTTAATCCCTAACTAAATAGAATTAGTATATCGGGCAAAAAATCCAAACAAGGAACCCCCTATATATATACCATGTATTCCAAATGATTAAGGATTAAGTGACAATACCTCCATCCTAGTGTTAAAGATAAATATGACTATCCAAATTCATCATAAAACATAAGAAAACATAAATCCAAACAATCTACCTCCTCAAACAGGTGTGGGTAGTCGCGACGCATATCCTCCTCGTGCTCCCAAGAAATCTCCTCAGATCCTCTTCGGTTCCATTAAACTTTCACCAAAGGAATTACCTTGTTTCTAAGTTTCTTATCTTCTCTAGAAAGTATACAAACTGGGATCTTAATCATAGTCAAATCGTCCTGAAGCTCAATCTCCGGAGCATCCAATACTCATTGTCTCTCCTCGTCATGTAAGTGCTTCTTGAGCATAGAAATGTGAAATACGTCATGTACACTGTTCGCGTGGAAAAACTGTTTTCTTTTTCATTGAAATGATTATCATCTTGGATTACAAAGATCCGGTCTTTTATAGATCCGGTTACAACTAAATCAAAGAAAAAAATAAAAATTATAACTTTCCTCTTGTGAACAAATCGCAAGCTCCTGTTTTGCGGTCGCTTGCTTGTGTGGGTTCTTTGCCAACGCCGGGGTTAATCCGTGGACCACCGCGCGATCTAGATCCGGTCGGATCTACACGATTATGCGGGTATTATTCCACGAAGGGAATAATAGCCGGGAGGGATTAATCCACCAAGGGACTAATCGCTCAGATCTCGAGATCTAAGACCAAGCTTAGATCTGGAGTGTAGTCTCGTGTAGATCTCAGATCTGTTCTTTCTTCCTCTCGAAATCCTGCCTTTTCTGACGTGGATGGTCGCCGAGGATCAGATCTGTACGTCCAAGTCTTCAAGTCTTCAAAATCCGAGTTTCACTCTTCAATCCGGCAGAGTTTCGGCTCTTGAAAGTTCGACCTCTGAAAATGAACATCTCTAGGCCTATTTATAGGCTCTCAGGACAGTGGCTGCAAAAAGAGAATTGTCGGCCACCTCTGGCCACTGTCGGCCACCTCGGGCCACTGTCGGCCACCTCGGGGTGGCCGACACTGTGCCTAGCCACCTTGGGGTGGCTCGGCTCATGGCCGAGCCACCCCAAGGTGGCTCGGCCTTGGCCGAGCCACCCCAAGGGGGCTCGGCCTTGGCCGAGCCACTCCGGGCTTTGCGTCCGTCGTTCGGTTGTTTCGGCGGGCGGTGTTTTCCGACTTTTTCGAGTCGTTTTCCGTTGTTTCCGGTTCTGTCCGTGATTCGGTTGATTGAGACTCTGATTGGTTGATCTGATTTGGCAGTAAGTTGGATTCCTGATTTGGCAGTAAATCCGCTTCTGAGTTCGAGTCCGAAATTGATCTTGATTCGATCGTGATTCGTCCGAGTCCGCTCTCGGTTGGATGACTCGTTGATTCCTCAACTCATTAGCTTGATTCTGCACGCGGGTGGATTCATTCCGTCGCTTCCGTGCGATTCGTCGATCTCGTCGCCTCGTTGGTTCGTCGGTTTGTGCCGAGCTATGCTAGGGGACCTATAAGCAATTTTATATGCCTACAGATACCCCCTCCAAAGTATTTCAGTCTCGTTCTTTTATAGAAGAGTCTGGGATACTTTGGATATGATTGTCCCTACCTTCAGTCGGTATAACGGGACCTCGGAATGGCTTCTGTTCTTGACTCCTTCAATTCTCCAGGCTTTTCGGTGCTTTGTCGAAAGTCTGTAAGAGTTCCGGTGCTGCATTTATTGTCTGACCGTTTGTCGGAATTTTTTGAACTTGAAGTCGATTCCTTTTAGCTGACCATTGATTGTGGCGTCGAGTCTTTATGCACAACGCGTTGTCCGGCGTAGTGTGGTTGAGTTATCCTTAAGAATATTTATAAACAATATTCTCCAGGAACTTCTCAAACCAAAAATAGGGAATAGTTTATACTCATATACCTTATTGGAGTATTAAGAAGCAGTTTATACTCGTATACTTTTCGGAGTATTTTCTGCGCCTAAATGCGCTGAACCGGCTTAAAATGAGCCAAAAAAGGCAGTAAATCGGTTCAAAAAATCCTCCGACTCTTCCGAACCTGTGGGAGAAGAGTGAGTAAGTGATGGGTTGAATCGTCGCTCGATTTGAAGTCGTTTCGATGCTCGGTTCGACTTCAATTTGAGTTTTGGTTTGAACTGGGTCTGGTCCGGTTCGGTTCGGTTCGGCCCAAAACCGGTTCACCCTATATAAAAAGGGTTTCTTTTTCTTTTCTTTTTCTTTACCCTAGGGCCGACCCCCCTCTTTGCCTCCTTTTTGAATTTCTCTTCCCTCGAGCCTCCGTTCTCTCTCAAAACTCGATCTTCGTCTTAGATTCATCCTTCCTTTTGGTCCTTGACTGAAAAATCCTTCGAAACTGCCATTTTTGGAATTTCTCTCAGGCCCCTCGAGCGCGTGGTTCGAGCACTTTTCAAGATCTAATCTTTATTGGATCTTCGAGCTTCCCCTCAGGTATATCTCCATAATCTTGATCTATTTCATGTTTGATCTAGTGTATGGAATAGCGGGATCGCATATAAGGGTTGAGGGAGTGATTTGATGCCTCAAGCTCGCCTTTTTAGGGGATAAAAAAGTGATTTTTATTTCTAGATCTGACCTCTTGAATTCTTTTTTTGTAGGTCATTATGTCGCGAGCATCGAGAGGTCGTTTTCCTGCTGCATTGGTTGATGGCGCGCTTCCCTCATATGCTGGTGAGCAATTTTTTGACCTTTTTGGAATATTTACAAATTAGTCCTCTTTTTTCTGGATATTTGCAAATTGGTCCATTTTACCCCCCGTTGTTCTCCT